TTGGCCACCACCCTCCTTTTAAAAAAAATACAAATAGAAGGCAAGACCCTCCACCAACAAACAGATTTCAACTTATAACAATACCTGCTTTATTGTGGTGGTCTGGAACCCCGCCCACAATATCTCCAAGGCTTGCCTGTACCCGTCCATATATTTTGAAGTCAGTAGAGTTAATTGTTAAAGTAAGGTCTTCATTTGAAGAGAGGTGAATTAATAGAGAGAAAGATCACAACCTCAGAAAGCCTGTTTAACATACTGACATAATCATTGACTGCTCTGAGTGGATTGGCTTGGTTTCGATTTTAAAGGCTACTTACTCTCCATTTCTGGTAAACCACAAGGTGAAGGCTGGTCTCTGAGAAGCAGATGTTTGACCAGTTTTGAGGCCTTGTGGGTTTCCATAGAGAAGTAACTGAAGGCCACATGAAGCTTTTACTTCCTTTTCTTTAAGTGGAGCCAATGGTACTTTGCACTTGAAAGCATAGTCATTGAAATACATTGACAGAAGTGGTCTGTGTTCACCACCAGATGTCAAAATCATATTTCTGGAAGCAGTTAATTTGAAATGTCTGAGACATTCAAGCAAGTGTTCCCAATGGGCTTGGACCATAGATTGAGCCTTAGAAATAGTCGTGAGCATCTTGGATGATATTTAAAGTCAAGGGTGCAGTGGGAGGTAATATTGGGAGGGAGTTTGGAGAGCAGAAAGCCTTGAACAAAGCTTTGGGAAGCCCTAACATTTAGAAGATGAATAGAGAATCAAGCCAGGTGACATGAGGAAAATCAGGAGAGTTTTGTTTCATGGAGCCAGGAAAGTCAACTCTTATCACAGTTCAGAATGAACCCTTTGGCTTTTAATGGTCTATTTCCACTATAACCACCATGGCCCAGGCTTATCATTTCATGCTTGATCTCACTTACATATCAAAAACAGGGGAGACTCCTAATGCTTGTCAGGAAGCAAAGAGGTGTAAGATACAGTGCCTGTGTTTGAGAGCATGTAGACTCTATTAGTACATGAGCCTTTATACAAATAAATAAATGCCACATGAATGGGAGGGAATGGTCAGGGAAATTTCATTTTGGAGTGGGAGGGATTTGAACTTGGGCTTAAGGTAAACCGGAAATATCTTGGGCAGGCTGTAGAGAGTAGTAGAAAAGATAGTCCAGAGTTCAAACAGTCGCACTGTGGGCTAATTGGAATCACTGGATGTCTGGTTAAAAAGTTAGCGACAGAATCCTGGAGTGTCCTGAATTGGGGGCTAAGGGGTATAAGCACTACCCTGAATAGATCAAAGAGCTACTTAGGTAGGGGAAGGGGCAGGGTGAGAGAGGACTCATGATTAACTTTGTGGCTGAGAAAAATTCCTTGCAGAAGCTGGATGGGGGAGCTGGGTTACTAGGCTAGCTAGCAGGAGGGGAGGGATAAGGGCTTGCCCTGGACTAGCACTAGAATAGAAAGAAAGGAGGTTTGGTATTCAAAGACCTTTGAATACTGAAGACTTGTTGATTTGATGTTGGGACTAACAGGAAAGGGCAGAGTCACAGATAACAGTACTATGACTGAAAATGGTTGTATCTGTAGACTCGTACCTCCCTTTTACAGAGAGGCAGTGCAGGGCATGGATTTTGGAGCCTGGGTTTGAATTCTGTCTTTGCCTCTGAGGCATTGGGTGACTTTGGTCTAGTTACTTAACCATCTGTGCCTCAGCTTCCTTGTGTTAAAATGGAGCTGATACCCCTGGCTGGTGTAGCTCAGTGGATTGAGTGTGGGCCTGTGAACCAAAGGGTCCCAGTTCAATTCCCAGTTCAGGGCACATGCCTGGGTTGCAGGCCAGGTCTCCCATTGGGGCCGTGTGAGAGGCAACTGATTTATGTTTCTCTTCCTCTCCTCCTCCCTTCCCCTCTCTCTAAAAATATATAAATAAACTCTTTAAAAAATAATAAAATGCAGAAATAATAGTACTTATTTGTAGAGTATAACAATTTTAGATTAATATATGTAAGACCCTAGCATATAGTAGGTACTTAATAACTAGTACTCGAATGGATGATGTTAGAGTATTACATCATAACAGGTAGCAGAATCAGAATCTGAACTCAAGTTTGCTCGGCTCCACCACGTTAACCTGATGTTCTAGAGTCAGCCTTCTTCACATGCCACCTCCATTTGTGCCTGCCTCTCCTAGTAAACCTGTTCTGTGTCCTTTGGCATCTAGCCCACCTTCAGATGGTATGGTCCTGGCATCCCACCATCTGACTCATGCCAGGTCACCCACCTCAACTTTGTGTAGACTCTCTTGTCCTATAACCAACCATTTCTCATCCTCCACCTCTGTCTTTCACGGAGGGCCTTCCAAACCCCCTCCACCTCTTCAAATGCTGTCTGTGCTCGTTGTTCAGCCTTGGCTCCCATGCCACACTTCACTACTTTATGCTTGGCTGAATGAAGTCTCAGATTGTTCTGTAATGACTCCATACACATTTATCTTACCTGCTAAAAATGAGTCAGTTTTAATACAGCCAATACGCACTCTTTTAAAAGTGGTCCATGGCCACTTTAAAATTCTTCCCAGTGCTAAGTACTCAAGGAATACTTAAAAGAGTGCGTGAAGAAGCATTAATTCTGGTGGCTGAGGTTGAGTTTGGGCCCTTCTCATCTCACACCTGGGCTACATCACCAGCCTGTATAACTACTCTCTCTGTTGCAGTGGGTCTGTCCCTAGACCACAGCAACACTGCCACTGGAGCATTTCTTATCCAGTCTTTTTTCATGGACCATTCGTGCTTGAACTTCCCTGCCCGTCCAGCGATTAAGACCAGAAGTCTTCTATTGAGTCTGAAAGGCTCTCTGCAGCCTGATCCTCTCCTGCCACTTCAGTCTTGCCTGCTGACACTCCTTTCTGCACACCCTGTCCTCCTTGCAATTCCCAGAATTTTCTTTATCCCCTTCCTGACTGACACCTCTGCCTGAAGCCCTGCTGAGCACACCTGGCAGGCTCCTGCTTTTCCTTGTCACTTCCTCTAAGATACCAGCAGTGTAGATTGCTTCCTCCTTCTAGCCCCACCCACAGCCCTTTGTTCCTCTAAAGCTTTTCTAAGGGCCCAGAGATTGATCTGTTTACCTGTCTGCCTTGGAGCTCCTTGAGGGCAGGGCAGCCTCCTCCCTCACCATACCCCCAGTGGAGATGCCTTGCAGGTAGTCAGGGATGCAAGTTGATCCTAAGAAGGATACTTTTGTTAAGTGACCAAGGTCACTCTTTTCCAGACTAGAGGAGCGCTTGCTTTTTGTGCCTTGACAGACTTTTCCTTTGAGGTATAAGAATTATACTGAAACCTGACAATGATGAGTCATCTTAGGGCTGAAATCTGAAAAATGCAGAGCCTCTAGGAAGAGAGTGGGAGGTTGCAGATCAGTCCTGCAGGCCAAGTCTGGCTCCTCACCTAATTTGCCCGGCTGGTCTCAAACACGGGGAGTGGGAGGGACTCTCCTCCCGGTGGGCAGGTGATTTATTGGCTGGGAAGCTTCCGCGGTGATTTCGTGGTGAACCAGGCCTTGCGAGGTGCAGCCTAATGCCTGGGCCGCTGGGAGCTGCCGCCCACAATACCGGCCGGAAGGGACCACGGGGTCGTCGGGCTGGCCTCCCATTTCGCAGCCCAGGGCTGGTGGACGGCTGGTGCTGCTGACTCGGCCCACCGGGAGGGAGGACTGGAAAAGGATCGGCCTGGGACGGGCCCCGAGCCCCAGCGCGGCCCCAGTCCGGTAGGCGCCCTCTTCTCACTCTCGCAGTGGTTGGGAGGAAGTTTCTGTGCTTTGGCGCCGGGATTTACTTCTGCTGTTCACAAGGAAGGACCCAAGATAGCAGCACCCGGGTCCGGGAGGCTCTAGCGCAGAGCCCCAGGGCGGGGGCCGGAGTGCGGGGCCGGCGGGCAGCGCAGCAATCCAGGCCGCCTTTTGCAGCCGCCCGGCCGCGCTGGGCTCTGCGCGCTGCTCCAGCCTCCTCCCCCGGTGGCAGCGGTGGCCCCAGCCCCGCGCCCTGCGCCCCGCGCTGCGCGGCCCGCCTCGGTCACACACCGAGCCATCCTGGCTGCCTCCTGCCCGCGATTTTTGGAGCCAGAGGTGGGTGACAGGCGCGGCCTCTCGCTGCTTCGGACCCTAAGTGGCCTCGGCGCCGGCCCCACGTACCTGTGGCTGCCTGGCCACAGGCGCCCACCCGGCCGGGACGAGCAGTGGCAGGTCGGCTGCGCAGGATCAGGCTTCGGGCCCGGAGCCCGAGGTGGGAGCCTGGGGAGCCGGGGGGCTGACCCCACTGGGGCGGGGACGGGCTGCCTAGGAGCCATGGGACAACGCGAAAGTCTCCCGACTGTTAAGGAAAGGGGGGGGGGGGCGGCCAGCGGCTTCGGGAAGAAGGAAGGGGTGCTGATGGTTCTTTATTTGGTATCCTGGAGTGGCTTTTCGGGACAGAGATGGTGGGGCAAGCCAGTGGTGTTGGGGCTCCCAGTGGGCTTCTGATGCCCGCGCCTTCCTAGTGAATTCCTTGGATTAAGGAGAGGGCCTTTCAGCCGTCTAGGGCGCCCTTCTGGAGAAAAGTCTCCAGGTTTGGTTCTGTTTTCTCCCTTCTGCTCCACACTCTGGGAAGCCTGGTTCTTGAGGTGGAAGGCAGTCGTCCTGTTTTATTGAAACCCGGAGTGTATTTGTTGGTTATCCCTCAGTGAACCAGCGCGTAGACTGGTAGCGCAGAGGGCACAGATTGCTGCCGAGCCTCAACATAGACGTCCTTTGCCTAAGCCTGTATGCGGCCTGGGCTCTGGGGTCTGAGAAGAGCTGTTGGGGGCCTGCCCTGGCCGTAGGTCCCGGGTCCTAGCCCAGTGTTATTATTCCCGGGCTAAGACTTTTTTGTTGCGGTTGTTATTCTGCTGATTGCCGATATCTTTGCTTTGCTGACATCCTGTTTTGTTTTTGGTTTTTACATCCCATTTGTTGTTTCTTTTTATTACAGAAACGTTTTGTTAAGGGGCTCAGGCAGTACGGCAAGAACTTCTTCAGAATCCGAAAGGAGCTGCTTCCCAATAAGGAAACAGTGAGTACAATTGGACTTTATGTAACTTGATTTTTTCCTCTTTGCTCCTGCTGCTTCTCCACACTTGATCTTATGAAATGGTTTCCTTTAACCCTGCACGGTGCTCAGATTCAGGCTGGACTTTAGCATCCTATTCATTTTACTTCCATCACATTTAGTTCTAGCTCGTGATTCTAGATATGAGCTAGAATAGGCATATGATAAATTATGCCTATTTCCCTGAAGAAAGTGGACTTCTGTTGTCAGAACAAACAGGTCCTCAGCAACAGAGGGTTAAGTTGTGGGGTGGGAATGGGTGTCGAGGTATTGGGAAGTTAACATCTAATTTTAAATACAGTGGCTGGAATAGGAAATGTCATTTATCACTAGTTCAGATTTGGTTGATGTGGTTTGTAGCTCATATACTTTGAATTCTATTGGGACTTTTTCTGTATTTAATGTTACTGTGGTTTGGAGAGAAGTTTTAACTCTTTAATTTTCCAGCCCTAAAAGTTTGTACTTTTCATTTGATGGATGCACAATTGTTATAAATTGCTTAAATGGAGCTTTAAAAAATTCCTATGTTGTTTCACAAAACAGAGTCCAATCTGTTGAGTACTTTTACTAAATTGGGTAGGAGGGTTTGCTAAGGAAACTTAAGAGTAAAGTTGTATGAAGAGAATATTGTCAAGGGATTCTGTCTCACCTGCGATTTCCTCCAGGTGCTGCTGGAGGTGGGTTGGGGAGTGTCCTCCTCTGGCGAGGCCAAGGAGTAGGGGAGATGCAGGGCAGAGTAGAACCAGCTACTTCCCAGTGTCTGGCTGGAGCCAAGTCCAGTCACTGCAAGTGCTCTTCAGGACTTACGGTGGGGTGAATATTTAGATGTTTTCTCCAGGAGTGGAAGGGGAAGATGGATGAAGAATATTCATTATAAAAGTAGGTAGGTTGTTTTGTTTTTTGGTTTTCTGAGTGTTGTTTATTGATTTTTTTCTTATTCAGTTGAGTCTTTTATTCTTTTTTCTTTTAATGAACTGTTTCTAGACATTTTCTGTATAGTACCTTGAGAACAATGATACCATAACAGGGAAAATGGCCTTTCTGAGATTTCGAGTATGGCCTCCTTTAAATCAGTTGTTTGCATCATCAATCATAACTAGATTAAACTTTTAATGTTTGCTATATGCCTGAATATGCTGAGAGATGAGTCATTTTAAGAGTGGCAAAAAGAGAGACAACTGTTCACATACATTAAAATAAATTGATTATGTAATCGATCCGTAAAACCAACTTATTTTTTGCTCTTTCCAGAACAAATTGGAAAGAGGTATTGAATGGAGAAAGTGAAGGAAAGTTTTTTGGGGACTTCAGTTATTTGAAAATTGATAGGTACTTTTAAAAACTAAAATGCCCCTGACTGGTGTGGCTCAGTGGATTGAGTGCAGGCTGTGAACCAAAGGGTCCCCAGTTCGATCCCCAGTCAGGGCACATCCTGTGTTGCAGGGTGAGTCCCCAGTAGGGGACACGTGAGAGGCAACCACACATTGATGTTTCTCTCTTTCTTTCTCCCTTCCCCTCTCTCTAAAATAAATAAATAAGTAGATAGATGGATAAATAAATAAATAAAATCTTAAAAAACAAACAGACTAACTAACTAAAATGCCTTTACCCAAGTGTAGGAATTTTGGTTTGGCTAAATTGGGGCGAAAATGAAAGGTATCAATGAGTAGCTTTGACTTGATATGAAGGGCTACCTCATAACCTCCAAACTCAGGTGTTACCTATCCCTGTGCTTTGCTAAAACTTGCAAACCATGAAGAATCTGATACAAAGTATCACTTAACAACAACTTTACCTTTCTATTTAAAAAAAAACACCCAAATCGATAATGGCAAGATTAAGCATTAATCCTAAAATGCACTGTCTAGCATTTGGAAGTGCCAATTTTACCTAGCTTTAACTTCCATGCAGAAACCTCGGTAACTTGGGTAAGAGTTTTTTACTCTGTTTTTCTTCTTGCTATTGGTTGTTCCTTATTGATGAAGTCAAACTCAATAGGTAGCCTTTTCTCACCACAGAGAAGTTAGGACATCACCTCTTTGAGCTGGCTCTCTGGTCTTTTCCAAGCACCTCTTTCCTAAGACCCTTCCTCATCCTGCGGTCTCAGTTTCCCAGTCACATGGCTCTGTCTTTGCTTCCACAGCACCCAGCAGTTGTCCTGTTTCAACCTCTTCAGGCAGGGCCGGGCCATTGGAGCTAATGGTACTGTTGTTTGCAGCACCAGAAGATTTATTATGGTGGACATTGGCTAACTGTTCCTGGTGTCTGTCTGTCTTTTGCGTGGAATTGGAGCAGTTTGGTAGTAGGATAAATCTGCAAGAATTCTCATCAGCTGAGAGAGGCACTCATATTTTTTTTAGTTATCTACATAAGCAAGCTAATCATTCACAACTCACAGGGAGGGAAGGGCAAAGGTTCTTTTTCATTTTTGCTGTGGAAGATGAGGAAATATGCAGGCACCAGGGTTCTTGCTTGAAAACTTCCTTGGTAGAAATCTTCATGTGGTCATGCCTCTTTTTATAGCAAATCTGTAGATACTTTCCACATTCTCTTCTATTTGCCAGAATTATTAACTCATTTCTTTGCTATTCTCAACTGACTTGAAACTTCAGAAGGGTGTCAGCATCCAAAGAACACGCCTGACTGGGCCTGGGTGGGGGTCAGCAGGCCTGTGCTCTATTCTTGGTCTCCTCAGTAACTGGAGTAGGTGCTGATCTCTTCTGACTGTGCGGTCTCCTTTGCACTGTTGTTGGGAAGTTCAGGGCAGATCCTGACAGGGCCTGGGAAATTGTGTTCTCAAAAATGGTGTTTCTTTGTGTGAGAATTTTATGGGTGCTACATACAACTCTTGTGAAACGTTTGCACACTTTGGGCTATTGCCGTGCCACGAGCACACCTGCTCTGGGGTCTCGGGTTGTCCAGCCTCTCCGTCCTTTAATGTGTGTGTCTGTAAAACATGCCTGTCCTTCTGCTCCTGGGAATAGTTTTGAGAATTTAAATGAGACACTGTTTATAAGGAGTGCCTAAAAATGCTTAAAAATGACTGTTCTCATCTACCCCCTAATACTACACAGAGTAGCTACATGCTGTGAAAGTACAGAATTATTTTCCACTTGTAGAAAAATTGAGTTTATGTAAAAAGAAATGACCTGTTTCTCATTAATATACCTTGCCAAAAACCCTTTTATTTGAAAAACTGGGAAGGAGTGGAGGGCACTACCCAGTTTAAGGGATGTATTCTGTCTTGAAGTTTTGTTGAGGACACTTCCATTCTTACCGGTCCTTTCAGTGAGCTCTGCAGACCCGGGTTCCTGGTGGGCCTGGGCATGAATAGCTTTCACAGCTCTTTTGGTTTCTCGTGTTTATTACACAGGCACTGAATCTGGCTTTTCTCTGTACACTGCTGCCCACTGAAGTGGGAATAGTGGCTGTGATTGTGGAAAACCAACTGTTTATAGAGGTTTAGTTGAGTGAGTATTACATGTTAACCTCATGGTACCCAAGAGAATAACCGCAAGTTAAATATTTCGTGTCATGGTCGTGCAGATATCCTCTAGCTTATTATCTTTTTCTATAACCATTTGCCTCCCTCAGTATTCTTAAAAGGTGTGTGATTAGTAGTAAAATATAGTAACGAATCTTTGTGGAGCGTATCAGATTCCCCTTAGTTGTGCATTTCTCTCTTACAACACGACTGGACCTAAACCACAGCAGAGTCCTGGGTGTGAGTACATTTGTGTAAATGACAGTGAGTGTCCCCTCCCTGAGCTCTGAGAGGAGGAGTAGAGCCAAGCCCCAGGGGTGCTGCTTTCAGAACTTCCAGGGGCTCCGGGTCCGTGAGTTACATGCTGTCTGATGCTAAAGTCATACCTGATAAAATGAGAGCCCAGGTAGAGCACACTTTAAATTACTAGGAGGAGAGCCATGTTAAGAATAATACAAAGTCATGGGTGTTCCAAAAATTATGTTCTGTTTGATTTTTATACACATTGCCATTTTCTTCAAAATCATGAGATGATTATTCAAATGGCAATGACATTCATTTCCTTTTACACCAAAAACATGTTTGTGTTATTTGAACCAAGACTTCCTATGTCTGATACCTGGATGATCATCCCTTGAATCCTGGCTGGCCTTTGTGTGTGGTTCTCTCTGCTGCTGCTCAGACAAATTTAGCCAGCATTGGGTTGGAGACAGGGAGCACTTACTCAGTGACCTGTCTCAGACGCAGCTAATGTTAGTGAGAAGACAATTTGATCTGCTCTGACTTTAGAGAGAGAAGGTGCCCTCAGAGTTGTAATTAGCCTGTCAAGGGAGAAGGTGGAAAAGTGTTCATCCTTAACTGTCTTTCTTGCCTGTGTAGTCTTATTTTTGAGCTTGTAGCCCAATAGAAATTAAGTTCATGTTATTTGTAAACCCAGTTTCTGGTTCATTAATATTTTCTATACTAGATCATTTTCTCCCACTTCCCATTTTCAGAGCTAAACATTCATATAGTTCAGTTTTTAGAAATTGTGTATATGTGCTGAGCATTGTAATGGGTGGGTGTCTACAGAAGGAAGCAAGGTGCCATCGTGCCCTGCAGGGAGCCAACATTTCAGCAGGGAAGATGAACCATTTGCAGGTGCTCAGGGCCCTCCTTGGTGAAGGTTCAGGCCCCTCAACACAAAGGCTGAGGGCTTCTGGAAGGCCCTTTGGTGGTGTGGTATTTGAACTGAATTTTGAAGGAATACATTTTTTTTTTTGGTCAGGCCATGGTTGAGAGGGTGGAGGAAAAGTGGCTTTCCAGCTGTAGGAAATATCACAAGCAAAGGCATGGAGACAGGAAATTGCAAAAATGTGCCCAGCAAGTGCATAAATATGGCTGGGGAGGAGGTTGCACGAGGAGATGCAATAGGAGTTAGGCCAGAAGTGTGGCTTGCAGGTTGACTTGGGAGGGGGGACCTTGCATTCTCTCCAAAGAG